AGGAATGCTTCAAATAGTGTTCTTGTTGAATAAATATGATGTAGTTTAGTCTCTCATTCGAGTATATGCATATATATTTTTGCATCTGATTTGTTCAAGGGAATCGGTGGTAGCATTGAGGTGGGATGGGTCTTGTATAGATGTTAGCCATCACCGTTACCATATAAAAATAAATTAAAATCAAATCATAATTCTTTCGATAAGTCTTAACTAAATTTGCAAGTACAAAACTTGTTTTTGTTAAATGAATTTCTGTTGTGGGGCTCATATATTAGCTTTAAATTTTCATTTACAATGAATGGGGTGATGAATGAGTGTTGGAAAATTTGTAATGTGAATTTTTTTTTATTAGAAAATTGAATCTGATAATTAATTCAAGTATTTATCCTTAATATCTCGTGATAGTATGATCTCTTTTAACGATTTTTTCCAGGTTCCTTGTAAGTTGAGTTATTAACACAAAATCCGGAAATGATATTTATTCAATAATTAATTCATTTTTCCCAGTAAGTGCATTCAACGCATTAAAATGCACTAAGTGAATTTAAAAAATGCATTAAGTGTATTTTTAAAAGTGCACTAAGTGCATTTAAAAAGTGCATTAAGTGCATTTTTAAAACTGTATTAAGTGTATTTAAAATTTGCACTAAGTGCATTTTTAAAGTACATTAAAGTGCATTAAGTGCATTTAAAAAATGTACTAAGTGTATTTAAAAAGTGCACAAAGTGCATTTTTAAAGTGCATTTAAAAAGTGCACTAAGTGCATTTTTAAAGTGCATTAAAATGCACTAAGTACATTTAAAAAGTGTACTAAGTGCATTTAAAAACTGCACTTTTTAAATGCTATAAGTGCACTTTTAAAATGCAAGTAAGGCAGCTAAAAAATATTTTACCTTTAGATTCGTCAAAAAATCCAAATGATTATCTAAAAGGGAGGGTATATTAATCAAGTGTAAGCTTTCAAATTAAAAAATATATTAAAATCTGTTAAATGTTTTGCATAGTAATGACATTTAAGAAAATGATAGAATAAATAATATTATGTAATTCAATTTTAAGATTATTGACATATCTTCTACCTGCATCAGACATTATTTTAGATATTAAATTATTTTTAGCATATTCAGTGTAAAGAGTTAATATCAGTAATAAATAAAAAAATTGAACTATAAAATAAGATATTAAGTTTAAAACCATTTTTATCTGCTAGTCGATAACAGTCCTAACGAGCTACCGGCCGTCAGATCAAATTCGCTTCTCTGTTCTACATCTACTACTTATCAAATGTAAGTAGTAGATGAAGATGAAGATCAGAGGAGGAAATTTTATTTAACGACCAATAGCTTGTCAGGACTGTTGTCGGCTGACAGATGAAAATGGTTTTAAACTTGATATCTTATTTTATGATTTAATTTTTTATTGATTATTGATATTAACTATTTAGTTTGAATGTGCTAAAAATTTTTTAACATCTAAAATAATGTCTTTTCAGATAGTGGACATATAAATAATATATTTTCTAGTTGTCTTACTTGCACTTTAATGCACTTTAGAAGTGCATTTAAAAAATGCATTAAGTGTATTTTTAAAATTGCACTTAGTGCATTTAAAAAGTGTATTAAGTGCATTTTTAAAGTGCATTTTTAAAGTGTATTAAAATGCACTAAATGTATTTAAAAAGTGTACTATGTGCATTTAACAGGTGCACTTTTTAAATGTTTTAAGCGCACTTTTAAAGTGTAATTAAGACGGCTAGAAAATATATTATCTTATGATTTGTTAAACAATCCATATGATTATCTAAAAAGGTGGGCATATTAATCAAATGTAAGCTTTCAAATTAAAAAAATATATTAGACATCCATACAAATTAATCAATAAATGAAACAAAATATTTTTTACTTTATCATATGACATTTATATTCTGCTTGAATCTCGCGCTTTTTTGTTCTTTAATTTTTACTCGTTCTTAATATCCTACATTAAATCCTATGTAAAAATATAAAATATCAAAATCTGTTAAATTTCTTGCATAGTAATGACATTTGAGAAAATGATAGAAGAAATAATACTATGTAATTCAATTTTTAGATTATTGACATGTCCTCTACCTGCATCAGACATTATTTTATATATTAAAATTTATTTTAGCACATTCAGTCAAAAAAATTAATATCAGTAATCAATAAAAAAATTTAACTATAAAATAAGAAATCAAGTTTAAAACCATTTTTATCTGCCAGTCGACAACAATCTTAATGAGCTACCGGCCGTCAGATCAAATTCGCTCCTCCGATCTTCATTTACTACTTATCAAATGTAAGTAGTAGATGAAGATGAAGATCAGAGGAAGAAATTTTATTTAACGGCCAATATCTCGTTAGGACTGTTGTAGGTTGACAGATGAAAATGGTTTTAAACTTGATATCTTATTTTATTGTTTAATTTTTTATTGAGTACTGATATTAACTATTTAGGTTGAATGTTCTAAAAAAATTTTTAACATCTAAAATAATGTCTGTTCAGATAGTGGACATATAAATAATATATTTTCTAGTTGTCTTACTTGCACTTTAATGCACTTTAGAAGTGCATTTAAAAAATGCATTAAGTGTATTTTTAAAATTGCACTTAGTGCATTTAAAAAGTGCATTTTTAAAGTGTATTAAAATGCACTAAATGTATTTAAAAAGTGTACTATGTGCATTTAAAAGGTTCACTTTTTAAATGCTTTAAGTGCACTTTTAAAGTGTAAGTAAGACAGCTAGAAAATATATTATCTTATGATTTGTTAAATAATCCATATGATTATCTAAAAAGGAGGGCATATTAATCAAATGTAAGCTTTCAAATTAAAAAATATATTAGACATCCATACAAATTAATCAATAAATGAAAGAAAATATTTTTTACTTTATCATATGACATTTATATTCTGTTTGAATCTCGTGCTTTTTTGTTCTTTAATTTTAACTCATTCTTAATATCCTCCATTAAATCCTATGTAAAAATATAAAATATCAAAATCTGTTAAATTTCTTGCATAGTAATGACATTTAAGAAAATGATTGAAGACATAATATTATGTAATTCAATTTTAAGATTATGTATATGTCCTCTACCTGCATCAGACATTATTTTAGATATGAAAATTTTTTTAGCACTTTCAGTATAATAAGTTAATATCAGGAATCAATAAAAAAATTGAACTATAAAATAAGATATCAAGTTTAAAATCATTTTCATCTATCAACCAACAACAGTCCTAATGAGCTACCGGCCGTCAGATCAAATTTACTCCTCCGATCTTCATCTACTACTTATCAAATGTAAGTAAAGGAGATAGACAATGAATACAAACACATAAATTTTTATGCATCCTCATAATTAATGATCATGAAAAACATTAAAAAATGTTATATAGACGATGAATAAATTGATAAACCAAATCAAATAAATTTTATTTTTTCATATCAGATAAAATGAGGAAATCTTTCAGTAAATGCTTTAAAAAATGCAACAACTCTTGTAAGGAGTGGACCAATCGTCATGGTAAAAAAAGTTCAACATTAAAGAAAAGTGTTACAAAGATAGAACAAATAATAATAATAATTATTATTATTGATACGTTATCACAAAATTAGCTTGATTGGGCACGAATCTCGAAGCAAAAGCTAGTTGGAAACTTCAAAAATTAAATCCGGGAGCATATGAACTCCGATTTCAGCAAGCTTACTGTCGAACTGAGCGTCTCGGAAATACGAACCCAACGACACCAAGATCAACCCAATCCGAGCCCAAATGAGTCCGAATCAAGAGCTCAAAGCGCTGTTGGAAGGTTCAAACTGCAATTTGAGTTACCAAACGGTCTCCGATTTTGACGAGCTTATACTCGAATCGAACGGCTCGACGAGACGAATCCAACGAGCCCAAGATCACTAAATTCCGACATCATTAAGGCCTCCAAATGTCCAACGAACGATGCACGATCGTAGGATTCAATATCAGCCGTCCATTTGACCACTCCCTGTTCGCCCTTGATCTCACACCTATTTACGGACCATGCCACTCCAGAAAATCTATAAATAGAGCCCTCATTCTTCACAAGAGAGCATCTAAGCAAGAGAGAGAAGAAGAGAAGAGAAGGAAGAAGAGAGAGAGATTATATAAATTATATTATTTATAAGGTATAACATATAATCATATTATATTAAAATTATATTAAATATATTTAATTAAATATAAATTAGAATATTCTTCTTCACCAATTTATCCAAAAGCATATTCTCCCTCCCATTCTTCCCATGCTCCTAAAGTAGCTGAGTGGAGATGGCACAAGTGTGCAGGTAATATTTTCCACCAAATTAAGCTTCTTTTTTTAACTTATTATTTATAAAGCTATTTAGATAAATTTTTAAAAATTAAAAAATTATGATTTAAAGCTATCCCAAACTAAATTTAAATTTGTTGGATTGCCAAATAAAATAAAATTATAAAATTTGAAGTAAAAATGCTTAAATATTCGTTTGTAATTTTTTTGTTTTGAAATATATTATAATTAAATCAGTTTCAGTTATTTTTTATTAATTATTATAAAATTTATAATTAATATTGAAATAAAAATAGTTACTTAATTAGAGCTTAAATGATCACACATGAAATTTAATATGGTCTTAATAATACAATTTGATGTCTGTTAAACAATTTATAAAAGTTAAATTTTACAGAATTTGAGAAAAATATTATATTTTTTTCAAAATTTTTAAAGATTTTTCCAATCTTATTTTGAGAAACTTAAAGATTTTGAGAATTTTTTAATCTGTTTTTAATTATATTTTATATTTAAATTTAAATTTGAGAAATTTATTTTTTTCTATAAAATAAAAATAATTAAAAACAGCTTTTTCTCTCTCTGTGAAAGAAGAAGAAGAAAAAAAAAACAGAAATTTATTTTAGCGGCTTCTCGCGTAATTTGGGATTCTAACCTCTCATTTTGACCGCGCCGCTTCAAAATCGACTTTCAGTCACCACAGCCTTCCATTACCTCCAGAGCCCTGGCACTCTTTCTGCCGTCTCTTCCTCTTGCAAATTGCTTCTACCCATCCGTTTCCCGTTCATCACATGGCTTTGTCCTTCTCCGGAAGATTTCATCCCACCTTTTCTTTCTCTTCTTCTTCGATCTTAAGCGCGATCATTGCTCGGTTTATGAACTCCTCCGATTCGAACTTTACTTGTTGTTTTCATCCGGTTTATTTTCGTGCTCAGCTCGCTAGTTCTTGATTCCGGCAATTGAGGGAAAGATTTCGCGATGGGGAGGCGTAAGTTGTTGTTTTTAGATCAATTTGATATGGATCTGGTTTGCTGATTTGTTGAGAAGGAGTCAAAATTTGATCTTTGATGAGTTTTGATAGGGAATCGATTGTTATGGGATTATTTTTTTTATTAGGAAGTATGGTTCTTTGCAGAAAGCAGAAGACTGTTGAGGTAGATCAGCTTGACGATAGCGATGCTGATAGCGTGGAGTCTGGTTCGACGGTTCTGTCAGACCATGTTTTGCTCATGAGATGGAGAGCGTTGACTCGCAGGAGTTTTCTCTTGAGAAATACCTTGATGCTCTGTATGAGAAGAGGTTATTTTCATCTTTTATTTATTTGTTTATTTTTCCCTGAGATTGCATTTTCTTTTTGTTTGCTATAGTTGTTGGCTTTGGAAGCGAGTGATTTCTTTATGAGCAATCTCGTTACAATGCTTGATAATTTTGTGATTAAAATTAATAGCTAAGATAATTAGTGCTTTTGTTTTATTTTCAACATTGAATTCAAATGAACAAACCAAATTCAGTTTTGTAAGCCGTTGCTCTTTTGATGTAGAGATTCTAACAACTTGATCTAGAATATTATGATATTCAATTTCATTGGAATAAATGCCTTGAATTGTGATAGGAAGTGGATACAATTTCCTCAAAATCAGCGAAAGACAATTAAGAAATTAGGAAAGAAGAACAAACAAACTATTTTTATTGCAAGATATATTGAAAAAAAATAGCAAATATACAGTTGGATCTCAACTGGAGAAGAAGATCCGGCTCTCTCAAATCTATAGTATGTGGCTAGAGCATTCATAGTCTAAGAAAATTCTAATTTTAGCAAACTCAAACATAATCCTAAATCACCCTATTGTTTATCCTTAAATAAGCTCCCTAAATTCCCCTCAATCAACCCATTTTCCCCTATTTAATTACAAAAATCTCCATATTTGAATTCAAATAATTCCCCTAAATAAATTTTCTTAAGATTTGAATCAAATTAGATCTCTTGCCCTAAATAATTCTCTCTCAATGATTATTAAAATTTTCCTAAGTAATTCTTTGATTAAGAG